GACATTGTAAACCACCCAGAATGCTAACAAAGCATTGTGGGGTGGTATATAAATAAATCTAACTGCCAGTGCCACTGCTATTAACCTTAGGTGGGGACAAAAACCAAGAAGGCATAAAAATATCGTTTGTGAAGTACCTGAAGGGATGCTACACAAAACCTGATCTCTCTTCTTCCAAAGGACAGGAGACAAAACAATTGATTAAAGTTACAGGAAGGCAGATTTTGATTGGACGTTTTCAGAAATAAGTTTCCTAAATGTTCCGATCACAGCAGTTCAGAAGATAACCCAGTGACCTTAGAGATGGTGGGTTCCCTTCCTTGGTTGTGTGTAAGCACAAAGCTACACAATTACCTTTGGGGGATGTTTCAGCTGGGAATCCTGCATAGAGAAGATCAGAAGATCACAATGACCCCTTCCTATTTTAGGATTTGGAGTCTGTGATTTCACTAAAATTCAAGCAAACAGCATCCAAAACTTCTCTGGACTTCAAAGTTAGAATGCTAATGAGAGAAATAAAATCTCCTATTGCAAGAAAATTCTCAAACTGGCACCCTTGGAATTGCAGTTCTGAAGAACAATGACCAAGGTTATTTTTTAAATTAATTATTTTAATCCTGCATCCTGGTTTTTGAGGAGGGGAATCCACAACTCCTTGATTTATGTCCTTTTTATGTTGGCAAACACAGCTCCAAGGACCTAGATCAGACTAACAGTAAGAGATGGTGCAATGCATCTCCACCAAGTGACCTTCATAGTAAGGATTTGATTCCCATCTCTGTCACTTGACCACTATTTTCTACATTCTCATTACTACACTTGGGTGGGGGTTGGATTAGATGACCTACAAGGTCCCTTCCAACCCTGTTAATCTGTATCTGTAATCTATATCTATGCAAATCTGGGATTCATAGAAAAAGGCAAAGGTGGGAAATCCTCCATAGGTAAGATTGTAAAAAAGTAAGATTGAATCTCTTGCATTCCAAGTCTGCTGAACGGAGAACCATCAAATCCGTGCCTCCAATAGATGGAGACACAGACAGACATAAAATTAAGTGGAGGTAACTCTTTTTAGTCCTTGTGACTTAAGGTTGAAAGACCTATTATGTCATGACATTATTGGAAGGGCTGAACATTCAACTTTTTTGGTTGCTTCTTTTTTGGAGACATTTAAGGAGAAAACTGGGTGTCTGAAATCTTCAGACATCCATTTATGCATCCATTTCCTCTGTTCAATATCCCCATAGGATAAAAATCAGCCCAACTTCAGGATCGTTTTGGGGGTACCTCTTAAGCCTTGCAGGATTTAAGGCATCTGTTCTCCCTCTTAAAACCAAACCTTTGTAATGTCCCCAGATTCTAGTTTTGCCCCACTTACTCTGAGAACTGAAGTCCTTTTATGCCTGCTTGCCTCAAGAGAGAGTGAATTCTTTTTAAAATACCAAAGAAGCCCACTGCTTCCTAAAATCTGGGACCTTCTGATTTTTACCACTATATGTAAATTCGAAATAAATCACTTTTTCCACAGGCAGCTGAACTTTCTTGGTTTTTCTTTTTCCTTTGGAAAAGTTTCGTTTCTCATCCAAGAAGCTTCTTCAATTCTAACTTCAGAAGTTTTTTGGATGAAAAGCAAAATGTTTTCAAAGAAAGAAAAAAAACAAGAAAATTCAGAAAAAGCACCTTTGGAACAACTATGACCTGGATGGTTGAGAATCTCCACAGACATTTGAAATAAATCCAGTTTTCTCCAGTCATCACTCATTCAGGATCATTTTGGGGGTCACCGTGTCACCTGTCTTCTCATTGCTGCCAGAAAGGTTTGGATGGCCCTCTTGAAACAAGGGATATAATTCCAGATACATTTTATTTCTTCCTCCTGTTTTAATGGACAGGCGCACCATAAAATAAACAAAATATCCAATAACGAGGAGAGTGACAGTGACAGGAATGCCACCGGATTATCTTCAGGCTGAAAAATTGAGTCTTTCTTTTTTATTTTTTTGATCCACTTCTTCTTTTTTAAGGAAGGCTTAATACTGTAGCTGGCTGTTTCTTTAGACATTACTTCTTTCCTCCATTCCAGACACTTCTTTTTGTTTCTCTTTTCAACCCAGAGTTTTAAAACATTTTCCTTTTAATTACCGCGTATAAAAATAGCTATAGGAATTCAACATTAAACAAAGGAAGGACATGACCATGAAGTGGCTATTCTAGAGGTGAAGAACATCATTCATACAGCGTCAGGATTCATTAGGAGAGGAAGAAGGGTGTTGAATTAAGAGTCTCGTTTCAATTTTCACTGAAATGCTGTTAAGTGCTTTTTCCTACGTCAACGGGTTGGGGTAGGTAGGTAGGTACTGTAGATAGGTAGATGTTGAAAGTCTCCCACCAGTAATCCTAATGGAGAGAGGTTCTTCTTACGAATAGCATTGCCTACTTCGACTGCTTCAACTGAGGTAGGTCACTCTATAAAGAAAATATGCTACATTCTAAGGTAGACTTCCCCAAGCTGGCCTTCTCTAAATGTGTTGGGACTTCAACTCCCAGCATTCCCAAGCAACCTAGCTAGGCATTTTGGGAACTGAAGTCCTGACACACCTGGAAGTTACCAGGTTAGGAAAGGTCATGCTAAGGCTTTAAACATGTGGTCTATTACCAGCTGTGCTGCCACCAGCAACCTAGAGAGCAACTAACAGAAGAAACCGGAAGAAATAAACAGTGGACACCACATCGGTGGCTTCAAGTGCTGTGAGAGTCAGCTGGAGGCATCTTATTAAACAGGCTGGTCTTGTGTCTGGTTTGCACACATGCACCCTACAGAAGTTAAGTTAGTAAGACCTTTGTACCCAAATAGGATATGCACATTTCACAGATTTCTATATTTTGCATGGGGGAAAATGAACAACAGCGTGGAACATAAGCCCAATATTCCAAGATTGTTCCCTTTCATCTCCAATGAAAAGATTTCAGACCGGAGATTGGAGAGAGATCTGGAGAGATTGCTTGCCCCATGACGCACCTCAAATCATGGTTTGATCAAAGCACTAACTTTAAACACACAACTTGGAAGGGAGAACAGGAAGTATTGGCTTCACAGAGAGTCCTGGCTTGACAATGCTGTCTTGCATAAACCACTGTTGGAGATGATCACACAATGTGCCAAAGCCATACATTATGATTGGCCAACCATAATAGCTGGTAAAAGTTAAAAGTAAAGGTTTCCCGATGGTGCTCATCTCCATTTGTAGACAAGGAAGCCAGCGTCGTCCAAAGACACTTCCATGGCCCTGTAGCTGGCATGGGATGATGTTACCTTTCCATCGAAGTGGTACCTATTTACCTACTCACATTTGCATGCTTTTGAAATGCTAAGTGGGCAGGAGCTGAGGCAAGAACCGGAGCTCAACCCGTCATACGGTACTTGGGTCTCGAACTGCCCATCTTCCAGTTGACAAGCCTAGCATCTTAACCAGTAGGCCGCCCTTCTATAGCAGCCAGACACTAATCCAAGGTAACCATTTTGTTTCAACCCAGCCTAACTGTTTAAGATGATCTTAGTTCAGTTTTTTTTTTTTTTTGCAGAAAATCCAAGGGTTTCTCTGTGCAAAGCAAAAATGAAAGTTCAGCTCCTCCATTATTAAAAAAAAAAACAACTTTCCTTGATGTAGCAAGCACCCCATAAATGTGCATGTGGCAAACCAGCTTTGAACAACGTACCTTGAACATCTAACAGTTCTTTAATAGTAACCCGTTTATAGTGGAAGTTATTTTAGGTGATCGGCCTTTTGCTACAATCCTAACAATCATTAGAGTTTCCTTTGTTTAGACAAAAAAAAAGACACGATATAAAACAATTCTTGACACAGTAAAACTCTACACAAGTTAACTAGCAACTTGCCTAAAAGTAAAGCTTATCACACTAAGGGGGACTTGTCCTCAGTGATCACATCTGACATGAGTTCACAATGCTCTTCTGTCTTCTTGGGATATTGGAAGGGAGGGAGAGATGAGGAGATTGGCTGGAACAATACTTCTATTTTAAAAAACAAAATGTCTTGAGGTAGAACATTGCTTTCAAGATTTTGGAAGTGCTTTACATTGGAACAAGGATGACAACAAAGGGTTACTTTAAAGAGGGGGTGGTGGTGGAAGGAAATGTTAACCAATGACCAACATGGTGGACATGGAGTGTGACTTCTGAGGTAGTACCAAAACACGTACTGACCAAGTGCTACACTACTTGCGTTGAAGACAAAAAGGAAGACACAACATACATTTGCCTCTTCCCAAAAGACATTCAATTCCGGTTGAGGTAGGTTCTGAATTTACTTCGGTGGGGGGAGGGGTTCATCCAAGTCTTTTCTTTCTTTCAGGAGCCCTTTTCCAGGCCTCAGGTTTTTATTTATTTTTTTTGTTTTTTTGTTTCCCATTATTTTTATTTTTTTGCCACGCTCACTTTGTCTTTGAAGCAGTTGGTCCATGAAAAAACAACAACATATATCCTGAGAATTATGAATGGACACAACAACAAAAAAATAATATCTATGGCTCCACTGAACATTCTGTGTTGTGGATCCGAGTTGGGAGGTCCTTCATCATGGGTTAGTTCAACGAGATTGCCAAGGTGGATCCAGAAATGGTCATTCTAAAGCTGCCAGTGAAGGGACCCCAAGACGGGCAAGGGTTACCGATCCTACAGTTGTGTCAAGGGTTACGGAGTGGTGCGCCAGCTTTGCTTGAGAAAAGTCACTAGCTTGGCAGCTGTAGAATGAAGAGGGAGATCCAGATGGGTAGATATGGGCTACAAGCCTGAGGCAGGTCAGAAAGATCAACTTCATAGCAGATTCCAGAAAGGCTGCATACAGATTATGCAGATATCAGAACTTTTACATTGACCTGAGATTTATGTGTCATCTTAAGAGACATCAAACCAGGCACACACGCAAAAAACATAATCGTGGCTGGGATGTCCTGTAAGAAGTCTGAGCTATCTTGGCAATTTATCCTTCATTGGTCAGAGCTTGCTTCAAAGCTGGTTCTTCTGGGCTGATGGTGAGTAGAGGCTGGTCGTGGGGGCCAGAAGGTACATTTGGAAACAAGGTGTTGTTCTCTTCCTCAAGGATGCTAAATTCCTCTGGGGGAAGAGTAGATATCTGGATTTCAATAGGTGAAGGAGTTGGAATGTGATCCAGCTGAGAAAGCAAGGGAAAACATTGCTATTGGAAATCTCAAAGCCTGCTCAATGATATTTGTTACAAAATACAAGGAGAATGTGAAGACGAATGAAGGCAAATCCATGTATCCCAGGAGAATCTTCTAGGATCCGATCTGGGTCGGTCACTGGGATCAGAGTTTTTGGTCTTCTGAGCTTTCAAAGTCATGCTGAAACCCATCTTCTCTCTAGCAGAGTGTGTGGTGTTGTTCTGCGTGTGGCTCCACAGACCACACACAGAACAGTACACACACTGTTAGAAGTTTCCTGAAGATGGGCTCCAGTACGAGTTCAAAAGCTCAGAAGACAATAACTTTGGTCCCGGTGACCGACCCGGATCGAATCCTAGAACAGGAAGAATTCATTCAAATGACAGAAATTACTTCCTGGTGTTATTTTTCACTGATTGCACCATAGCTCTCACCTTGCTACTTCCCACCCAAGTGGGGCACCTTTGGGATTTGCCATCTTATCAAATTAAAGGCTGACTATCCTTAAGGGATTAAGTGACCCTTAATCCCAGACCCAACCTCGGTGGCAGCTGTGGGCCAGGAAAGCCTTCACCTGGCTTCATCACTCCTAGATTTGGGAGCGGGACTCCAGTCATTCATGCCTTGGTCATGTAATGGTTTGACTACTGCAGTGCATTCTATATGGGACCACCTACATAGAAGCTTCAATTGGTCTAGAAAGCAGCGGGGTGGACAATGATGGACTTGCCTTGGTTTGCCCAAGTTGGGTAACCTAGACATTTGATAGATAAATAAATAAACAAACCCTTCACCCAGGGGTGGGATTCAACCGGTGTTACTACTGGTTCGTTGACTATGTTTTACTGTGCAAAGCAGCTGAGGTTGAAAAAGCAGGAAATCAAGGACAAGTAAGAGCCCGGGCAGGCAGGTGGGCCAAACAGCAGCAAACACAGAACTGGTTCAATGTCTGCTGCTCTTCAGAACTACCGGTTCTACAGAGTTGGGCAGAACCGGTAGCATCCCACTCCAGCCCTCACCCTGATTTAAATCCCATCGTTCTATGTCCTTCTCTCCCATGAAGACTTAGATTCAAGTCAAATCCTCAAAATGATCAAATACATCTGCATATTTCCTCTGCCTGTTTTCCACCCCAATCTCTTTTGTGCTTAGTTCTGCCCTTCCACTTAGACCAATGGTTCTCAAGCTTTTCTTTACCACAGACCCCTCCCTTTAAATACCTTTCGTGGCCATGGACCACCAAGACTTCAGATTTGAAGCACCAGACTGCATCAAGCCTTCACGGACCCCACCATAGGTTGAGAACCACTGACTAAGATCGTTCATTGTTTGGCCTTCTGAAGGATTTCTCCCTTTGGCTTTACTTGTGCTGAAAAGGTGTTGCTATCACCTCGTTCTTATGTCCTCATAGCCCATATTTGACCCATACAGAGACCGGGGAATAGAGGAGACCAGGACCAAACAAAGACGCTTTGGACTCTGCAAATGAAATAGCTGAAGATCGATGATCATAGACAATGACGGCAACATGAAATTGTTACAGCTTCTCACAGTAGCCTTACTGGTGCTTTGGGACGGGGATCTCAAACTTTTCAGACTATTAGATAAAAAATAAGAACTTGGATAGCCTTGATCAAAAGGCAAAGCTAAAGTGATTTTTTAAAAACTGGCTATTGCAGTCAACAAGGAGGAGAAAGAGACTCAAGGTAGCCAGAAAAGAACTTTCCCTTCTCTATCTGCTACGTACAACACCACTCTTTACACTGTACAACAAAAAGGAGGCTGAGCAACATTCCAGTTCCACAACGCTTTTTCTTACTGCGATTCCCTTCGTGTGTGGACTGGGTTGGGAATGCAAAGCTGGAAACAACCTCTCCAGTTCATTCATATCCAGTTGTTTCCCATTGACATCTGGATCTTCCCTTTTAGTAGACCCGTTTAGAGCCTGGCCGGGAATGTTTCTCGGTCCTCTTGAGATCTGCGGGGTTGACAGTTGCTCCTGCACATTTTTGCACATCAGCAGTCTGCTAAAAATGAGAGGGAGAAAAACATGGTGGATCCCTTTCACAAACATGAAAGAAGACTCCACTGTTGGAAGGTCTGTGGGGATCAGGTAAGGCTTTACTTGCAAGGGGTCCTGGGTTCATTGAGATAGGAAGCTCAACTAAGACCGTGGGAAGCCATCACTGGACAATATAAATCAGGGGAAGAGATCATCTCTTGATGGCTCTTAACTTTTCTGTAGTGCCAAAAAGGCACTTTCATGAGCAAAGTTGGGGTTTACTTATTTTTCCTCACATTCTTGGAGGAAATGGATTAAAGTCCATTAAAGTCTTGTTCCCCAGACAAGAACTTTCCATCACAGAAACACAGGGTATTGTAAAGGTTAATATGTAGAGTTGTAGGGTGTGTCAAATTTTTCAACTTTCAATTTTCCAAACATTAAAGGTCAAGGCTCCCCTAGCACATATGTGCTAGTTGTTCCCAGCTCTAGGGGGTGGTGCTCATCTCTGTTACAAAGCCAAAGAGCCAGCGCTGTCCGAAGACATCTCCGTGGACATGTGGCCGGCATGACTAAATGCTCAAGGCACATGGAACACTGTTACCTTCCCACCAAATGAGTCCCTATTTTTTTACTTGCATTTTTACATGCTAGGATGGCAGAAGCTGGGACAAGTGACAGGAGCTCACTCCGTTATGTGATGCTGGGGATTCAAACCACTGAACGGCTGACCTTTCTGATCGACAAGCTCATCGTCTTATCCACTAAGCCACTGCATCCCTTAATGTTCCAAACATTAGGGGTGCTCAAAAGTTGTGACATGCCTTGGGGATTGCAAAGATATTTTGGTTACTTTAATATAATTTAGAGGTGCTTGGTAGGTAACTATATAAATATCGTAACTTTTAAACACTTTGTTTGTTTCCTTTGAGGGCTAAGTTCAGGGAGATCCTATTTCATGTCTGTCTTCCCCTTACTCAATGGGCTTCTCAGTGTTTAGTTCTAAGGACAAATTGGAGAACAGAGTTCTCTATGTGCCATCTTAGTTTGGATATACAGTAGATCTAACCAATTACAGACATGTATTTCTGATCTTAATAAGATGGAGATCTTAATGTTCATTTTCAACTCTTGCAAAAATTTAGCGTGGAGGATTCTAAGCATAGCCAGATAAATACATCAAGATTGCACTGGGATCTCTGGAAGCTCTCTTCCCAGACTCTGGCTACCTCAATGCAGACAATGTTGAACTAGTTTTGTGTTTTTCAAACTTGGCTGTTGTAAGATGTGTGGACTTCAACTCCCAGAATTCCCCAGTCGGCATGGAGAGGTAAAGTCTACCCATCTTCAAGCGGTCAAGTTTGAAAAACACCGAGGTAGCTAAATCAAGAATCTGGTTTGGGAAAAAAAAAAGGCTTTATTTGGGTAACCATGGCTCCATGGTATAGTACCATGAGCATGGAAGAGACTCCTGGTTTAGTCTTGGACAGAGTGGATATGATTTAAATCAATTTGATTGAAATCTTAATTGAAATCACTAGTAAAAAGGCTTGATTTTAAATCAATTCTATTTAAATTATAATTTTTAAAGAGCAACTGTCATATCTATCCCACAGAGGCTCTTCCTCTGACCTACTGTTGACTCACCGACAGCTCCAATATTGTAGAATATAAAGCCTCAGCTACATAACTAAGCTCCATTTCATGCTGAATAAATTAAATTATTAATGCATCTTAAATAGAATATATATATATAAAAATATAAATATAAATATAAATAATCTATTTTTCTCTACCCTGGTTTTGGACATTGTAAGGCCAGGCTGAAAAGGAAGCTCTGAAGAAGTACTCCTGGCTAATGCAGACAACATCCAAGTGAAGAAGCCCTAGAGCGGGGCTCTTCAAACTTGACAGCTTTAAGACTTGTGGACTTCAACTCCCAGAATTCCTCCTCCAGCCATGTTAGCTCAGGAATTCTGGGAGTTGAAGTCCACAAATCTTAAACTTGCCAAGTTTGAAGACCCTTGCCCTAAAGACTAACTCCATGTGCATGGTTGATGGGACTCAGGTGTCTGCCTAAACTGCGCAGTTGACGTAACCTGAGAAGAAAATGTTGGGCAGAAGGAGAACCCTACCGTCCTCTGTAGCCAAACATGAGGAAAAGGACACAGAAGATGATGCAGGTGACCCCAATGTGGATTCCAATGATGATCCCAGTAGCTGAGGTCTTGTTGGTTGACTCATCCTTCATGCAGTTGCATGGTGGGTTGAGGTCTAAGGTGGACGAGAAAGATGACAGGAAAACCCCTTGAACACTTCTGAGAACCTCTGACACAAATTGTAGGACAGGAAAAACAAACACCCTCTCACACCACTTGTATAGGTAAGAGGAATACAGGTATAGCCCTTGACTTACGGCTGTTCATTCCATGACCATTCAAGCTTACAACACCACTGAAAAAAGGGACTTCACAGCCACGACCTTTGCAGCATCTCCACGATCATGTGATCAAAATTCAGAAGCTTGGCAACTGATTCGTATTCATTGCTATGTTCCAAGGTCATGTTGCTGTCAGGATTCCGGCAGTTACCCCTATTTAAATCATGAGTCTTGAGCCAAACTTCCAAAACTTCAAAGGATTTATTGGGAGTTAACATGTCCAGCACTGCCTGCGTGTAGCCGACTCTGAGACACATCATTCATTGTCACCCTTGACCCTGTTTTTCCCTCCACCCACTGAATATATCATAATTCATAATTCATATTCTCCAATGGAACACATCCATAGCCCAGAGTCATCAATCATGCTCTCCAGTTAGAATTTTGCACAGTCGAAACTTTGGTCACCTAGAAACTATCTTTGAAAACATTTATGGAATGCAGTTTTGGTTTGCAGGCAGCTGCACTGCTTCCCCCTCCTTTTCTGTTGGCAACTCTAAAAAGAACCACATAAATATTTTGAGTTGACCTTTTTGTGACCTCCTGACAAGTCCATGGGGAAGCCAGATTCACTTAACAACCTGGTTACTAACTTATCCCAAAGGTGCTTTTCTTAAATCAAGAGGCAACTGGACTTCCTGGTTTTTCTTTGAAGACGATTCACTGCTCATCCAAGAAGTTTCTTCATCTCTGACTGGATGGTGGGGATAGATATCTATCTTCAGTCTGAGCTGAAGAAGCTTCTTGGATGAGCAGCAAAAAGTCTTCAAAGAAAAACCAGCGAGTCCAGTTGCCTCTTGACTAAAATAAAAGCACCTTTGGGACAACTGTGACCTGGATGACTGAGTATCTCCACAGACATTACTAATTTATGAATGGCAATGATTCATTTAACAACTGTGGGGAGAAAGGTCGTTAAAATCATGCAAAACTCTCTTAACAAATGTCTCACTTAACCACAGAAATCTGAAGCTCAATTGTGGTCGTATGCTGAGGACTATCTAGAATATGAATAACGGTATTCGTGTCAGACATGTGATGCCATCCCTGGCATATAATCTCTCTTGCCCACACCTTGCCATTCCTACAGATGCTCCTGGCATTTTTGGGGGGTGGGAGAAATGAACATCTAAGTCTTTTGAGTACAAGATGGTACCCCTACAATTGAAGCCAGGTTTTTGTTTTAGGAGGGGCTTTGAATTGTGCAGTCCCCGGTGCTTCTGAGCTTGGTTGGTTGCAGGTGTTTCATTACCCAACTAGGTAATGTCGTCAGTGTGAGTAAGTGTGGGGCTTGCTGCCTGTTTATAAACCCCCAAATCATCAGCTCTCAACCTTTTGGGCACCAGGGATTGGTTCAGTAGAGAGAAGATTTTCCATGGACCAGAGGAGCTGTGGTTTTATGGACTGCGTGCATCCCACAGGTGGGGTTTCACTTGTTTGCCAGGCCTGGTTTCTGGCATGTAGTGGACCAGTGCTAGTCCATGGACCAGGGGGGTTGGGGGGCCCTGCCCTAAATCACTCAATTACTGATGATGGTTGGGTTTCATGAGTTGGGTGATGCAACTCCTTCAAACAACCAAATTCAGCACCAAGGACTCCACAACTCAACCCTGAGCTACAGACATTCTCTTCTATTGGATATAAAAGATACACACGGTAGCAACATTTTCTAGATTTTTTTTTCCTTTGTGTTGAAAATGGACAGATATGAATGAATCAATGATCTTGGGATTTGTTGATTAAACAGGCTTGCTTATAAGCGGAAGGAAATAATGATATAATATTTGGAAAGTAGGAACGCCTGTGGCTGCTACAAAGAAGAGCCTAAGTCAATTTTAAAGATCCTTTTTTCCTCCTTTTCTTTTAACTTTTAGTATTTCTTTTTCTTTTCCATACTTTTAAGTGCCTGTAGATTTTTAAAATTCTGTATAAATTCTTTTTCAATAAAATTATATATCAAGCTATAAATAATCTTTTCAATCGTGTTTGGGTCCTTTCTCCCTTTTCCACTCAGCTCTTCCCACCTTTCATTCATTAAGGCAAACAATCTCAAGGCCCCTCAGGCTGAGTCGAGCCTCTCACCTGTTTTTTCAACCGTTTCTCGAAGGGACACAAAACGGACGGTGGAGTTCCCATCGCCATGTTGGTTGTAAGCAAGCAGTTTGACTTCATACACTACGGATGGATCTGAAAGAACATGGAGAGAGGGGAGATATGTTAGTTCAATCAACGACAAGGATGTGTTCACTGAGCAAGGCAAACCCACTGCTGCTTTCTCGCCATAATTTTGGCATCTGTGTCAGAAGTGGGAACCTTTTAGTCTTGAATATCCCCTTTTGGAGATAACAGATAATCAGAGTTGGAAGGGGCATTGTAGGTCATCTAGTCCAACCCCACCCACCCACAAGCAGGAGATCCTACACCATTTCTGACAGATGGCAGTCCAGTTCTCTTCTTGAAAGTTTCCAGTGATGAAGCCCCCACAACTTCCAAAGGCAACTTCTGTTGATTGGTTGATTGCTCTCACTGTCAGAAAATTTCTCTTTATTTCCAGGTTGAATCTTTCCTCGTTCAGTTTACACCCATTATTCCTTGTCTGGCCTTCAGATGCCTTGGAAAATAGCTTGATAGCCCTCCTTTCTGTGGCAGTTCCTCAAAAATTGGAAGACTGCTATCCCGTCTCACCTGGTCCTTCTCTCCACTAGACTAGCCATGCCCAGGTCCTGCAATTATTCATCGTATGTTTTAGCCAAAGGATCTCGGGGATTCCCCTTCCCAACTTCCAAAAGTGCTTTTTCAAAAGGCAACTGGAATTCCTTGTTTTTCCTTGAAGACATTTCTGCCTCTCATCCAAGAAGCTTCTTCAGTTCTGACTGAATGGTGGAGAACAGAAGGATTTACATTCCTTGCAGTCATCTGGTCATTAGCACTCTCTCTCTCTGAGAGTCGTTGAAGCCACTTGGAGGTTTATCTGTGTCCTCAGGGTCACCTGAATTGTGCAAGTGGGTGTGGAACCTTTTGGAATTGCTGAAAGAACTGTGTTGCACACAGGAGATACATGGTGTCGTATTCCCTCTCCTTCCTCATTGAGAGAGAATAGTTCAATCTTAATATAGATGGACTTTTTGACCCCTCCTTCAAACCTGTGGCCCTTTCTGTCCACAATGTGGACTTTGATGTCTTCAGGGAAAAACAATAAAGTTTCGAAAAAGCACCTTTGGCACAACCATGACCTGAATGACCGAGAATCCCCATAGACCATTCCCCTCCCCAAGATTAGGCTGTCCAAATTTGACCACAAAATTCAAATCCCACAAAATGGGAAATAGCCCAGCCTACAACACAGTCCTCTTTCATTCTGTGTGACTTGTGGGTGACTTATAGGGATTCTCCAAGTCTGGATTGTCACTTGCAGATGTCTGGCTACCCACCTGTAGCTCTGCAGATGTCAGCCCCAAAGGAAACCTCTGCCAATCGAAAGGCAGGGACTCCTCCAACCCAAAATTTCAACCCCGAATAGATATATTCATACATTATTCTCCTTTGCAAAAGGATTATATTTGGCTTGAGGCATCTGAACAAATCAACTAGCGGTGGGTTTCAAAGAGGTTTACCACCAGTTTGGTGGGCGTGCTTTGTACATGCACACGCACTTTGCGCATGGATGTGCCAGCCAAACGTGCACTTTACACATGCACAGAGGCTTTCCGACTCAGCTCCTGCAATCCCTGTAGCTTCAACAGCTGCCACGGGGCAATCGGCTGCGCTGTGCAAAGTAGCTGCGCTTCCAAAGCAGAGAATTAAGGTCGGTATGGGAGCCCAGGCGAGCAGGCGGGCCCAACAGCAGCTCATCAGAGAGAACCGGTTCGGTCTCGGCTGAGCTTCGGTGCTACAGGTACACCGAAACTGGGCCAAACCAGTAGAATAGCACCACTGAAATCAACCCATAGTTGAGGCACAAATGACCACGATTGAATTATCCTACGTCAGACCCGCAATGCAAAAACCCAGCTCTCTGGAGAAGACTATAATGCTGGGAAAAATGGAAGGAAAAAGAAGAGAAGAACCAACTACAAGGTTGATGGGCTCAGTTACAAATGTCATGAAGGCAATAATGGAAGACTTGACGGACCAGCTCGGAGTCCCAAAGGTAATAAAGTCCAGTTGCCTCCTGAAAAAACACCTTTGGGACAGCCATGATCTAGATGTCTCCGTAGACAATCAGCTTGGAGACAGATCACCACGGAGAAAATCTATCTGCAAGGTCCCTAAGAGATGACAATGCCTTGAGCCTTGGTGTCCCAGTGGTTAGAGTGCAGTACTGCAGACTACTTCTGTTGACTGCCGGCTGCCTGCAATTTGGCCGTTCAAATCTCACCAGGCTCAAGGTTGACTCAGCCTCCCATCCTTCCGAGGTTGGTAAAATAAGGACCCAGATTGTTGGGGGCAAGAGGCTGACTCTGTAAACCGCTTAGAGAGGGCTGTAAAGCAGTGTGAAGCGGTACATAAGTCTATTGCTAGTGCTATTGATGGTACATAATCAATCATCAACCAATCTACCCAAGAGCATGGTGCTTGAGGATAGCCTCCAGTCATCCCTCTTTGTCTACCACATTCTTCCTCTCTACTCACCAAGATGAGTAAGGTTGCAAGAGGTGACGTTGCTGGGCAGAAGCATGGGCCCCGTGAAGTGTGGAAGATGGACTTTGCGGTAGAAGAGTTTGAACCCTTCATGTTGGCCCAGTTTGATGGAAGGTTCCCATGTGACTTGAATGGCGGTGCTGTTGAGGACTTTAATGAAGAGGGAAGGCACCGCTGGTACTGAAAGGAAGCAGAAAGCAGAGAAGGGTTGGGTGAGTTGGTTTTCACCAGACATGGGCCAATATGGTACCTATATCTTCTATATATATATATATATATATATATATATAAAAGTGAAATATCACTCATGCATCATCAAAAAATCTCCAGAACCGTAAAGCCTACAAACTTGAAATTTGGCACGTATGTTCCTCATGGCTTCTAGTGGCTCACTAAGAAAGGATTTTTTAAATGACCATCACAGCATTAGTATTTCCTATATTATTATTATTAACATGCTCTGATGCTAAGGAGTTCTACTCCCCCTCCTGACCTGAAAAGAAATCTGTTCCAAATGCAAAACACAAGCAGAGGAGAGGAGTCTCAGTTTCAGTTTTAGAGCAGCAACCGGCTTTAGTCCAGAACAGTTGAGCTAAGCCACACCCAGGCTCCTTGCTGTCTCCTTCTTGCTCACACAACAAATACTGCTTCAGTTTCCATATTTCAGTTTCCAAACAGCCTTCAACTCTCTCACACGCTGACAGGACGCTAGCCAGATGAATACCGATGGATGCTGGTAGGCAGAGGCAGAATTTTTTTTCTTTATTTTCCTCCCACAAAACTAAGCCCGATCACATAGTTTCGTAGCGAAGCACAGGTATCAAGCTAGTTTCCCATAAAGCTATTCTTTGAGGAATTCACCTGCCTCGGAGCTTTGCTTGCAAATGGATTTATTACTTGGATCCCTGATGCCTCAAACATCAGCAACAGCCTCCAGATGCTACTTTGGATACACCCTTGATCTGAAGGAAGCCCAGAGGTGGAACCACAAATCATAAATCAAGCTAGGATGGGGGTGCTGAGCTAATGATTAACTGGGTTTGCTCATCCATTACAGAAACTAAGGCCTAACTCTATTTCACCAGTGGAAAGATGACTTAAAGAAAGAAGAAAAGGTGAGAGCTTGTGGCAGGGAGGAAAGGAAAGGTTGGCTTGGAGCATCAGAGCCCTCTGTGATTTATGAACCTGTTACCAGATCCATAACGGCAGGATTTAAGGAGTTGGGGGGAAAAGGGTCTTTAAAAAACAACAACTGACAAAAGGAGAAACTTTATGGGGCCGTAAGCTACTGTCCTGAACTCCCAAGGCTTTGGGTCAATGGTTTGAAGGATTTTAAAAGTCTTGTCAAATCCTGCTGCGTTCTGACTGAAGAACCAAAAACTTTGGCCAAAGGACAGAATTTGGTTATCTCAAATGCAGGTAGCCCTCGACTCACAACTGCTTGCTTAGTGACCGTTTAAAGTTATAACGGCACTGAAAAAAAGCGATTTATGACCATTTTCCACACACACAAATGACGCTACAGAGCACTGCACACCAGAACAACTAGACACAAGAACAGTTTTTTCCCCTGAATGCCATCACTCCGCTAAACAAATAATTCCCACAACACTGTCCAACTATTTACAAAGTCTGCATTATAGGTAAGAGGTAAAGGTTCCCCTCGCACATACGTGCTAGTCATTTCCAGCTCTAGGGGGCAGTGCTCATCTCCATTACAAAGCCGAAGAGCCAACGCTGTCCGAAGACGTCTCCATGGTCCTTGTGGCCGGCATGACTAAATGCCAAGGGCGCGTGGAACGCTGTTACCTTCCCACCAAAGTGGTCCCTATTTTTCTACTTGCATTTTTACATGCTTTCGAACTGCTAGGTTGCCAGAAGCTGGGACAAGGAACAGGAGCTCACTCCATTACGCGGCACCAGGGATTCGAACCACCAAGCTGCCGACCTTTCTGATTGACAAGCTCAGCGTCTTAGCCACTGAACCACCGTGTCCCATAAGTCTGCATTACTATCACTATTAATGTCCTCATTGTTCCTATCACCCATCCCCTCCCACTTGTGACTGTATGACTGTAACTTTATTGCTTGTATCCTTACGATTTATACTGACTGTTTCCTAGTATAATTTGATTTGATTGCCTATTTGTACCTTATGACTATCATTAAGTGTTGTACTTTATGATTCTTGACGAATGTATCTTTTCTTTTTATGTACAGTGAGAGCATTTGCACCAAGATAAATTCCTTGTATGTCCAATCACACTTGGCCAATAAAGAATTCATTCATTCATTCATTCATTCATTCATTCATTCATTCATTCATTCTGTCAATGATGGTTGCAGTATCCCCAGATGATGGGATCGTTGTTGCAACCTTCTGGCAAGCAAAGCCAAAGCCAGCTTCACTTAACAATCATGTCACCAACTCAACAACTGCAGTGATTCACTTAATGACGGTTGCAAGAAAGATTGTAAATGGGATCACAGTCACTTAACAATGGAAATCAAGGGTTCAGCTGTGGTCGTAAGTCAAGGGCTACTAGAAGACTTTGATCAAACTCTTCCCCCACCCATCCAGCACTGAAATTGGGACGTTCACAAAGCCGAGGTGGTTTTGATCTCCAGCACTGTGCAATATTCCCTCTGCAGAACCTTTGAACCTGAAGTGGATTCTTCTTACCTTCTCCCAGGGTGCTCACCAGCACGACGTCAGAGGCCTTACTGGCCCCACGAGAGGTGTAGGCTTTTATGTAGAAACTGTAACTTGTGGAAGGCTCCAGGTCTGTCACCAGATGCTGGAAGGTGCTCTTACTGACGGCCTCTTGATATTCCATTTCCATGGGGTCTGAAATACAAGTGGAATGAAACAAAGGAAGGAATGAATAGGAAGGAAGGGATGGGAGGGAGAGAAGGGAGAGAGGAAGAGAGAGAGAAGAAGGAGGGAGGGAGGACAAGAGAGGAAGGGAAGGAAGGAAAGAAGGACAAGACAGGAAAGGAAGAGGAGGGAAGGGAGGGAGGGAGGAAAGGAAAGGAAAGAAAAGAAGGAAGGACAAGAGAGGAAGGGAAGAAAAGGAAGGAAGGAAGGAAGGAAGGAAGGAAGGGAGGGAGGGAGGGAGGGAGGGAGGTGTCCAGGGAGCCACCAATTGGAAGAAAGGTGCTGCAGATCGTCAGATTGCACCCAGGAGCCTTATAGATCTGCCTCAGTGTCCTTACGGCATTTTGAGAACTCAGGCCAGAGCATTGCTTAGAATTAAGTGCCAGTTCTTAATTTCTATTTATTGGAGATGGAATCTCTCTCTTTGATCTCCAACCTGCCTGCCAGTTTCCTTCTTAAGGGAGGCTCGGTGTCAAAAAAAAAACCAAAAACCAAAAGCCACGACATGTTGTATTTTGCCTCTAGATGTCAGGCATGGCCAAAACTTCCAATATATTTCCTTCTTGCTTGCTTTCTATTTCTCTCTCTCTCTCTCTCTCTCTCCCCTTTTCTCTTGTGTTCTGTTCTCCTTCTCTTGTCTCTCTTCCCTCCCCACTTCTCTCTCACACACACTCCTAATTCATTTAGATTCTCAAAGCGGCTTACATGGCAAAGAGAGTGCTAAATTTAAGACTGGGGAAAGAGAGTTCAAACACCTAATCCTATTCCTGAGCAAAATGGGATGTCTTTGAGCCTATCTGCCTTCATTATCCTTCCCAAGGAAGGGTAAAATCAGGGAGAAAGCCTGCCCTTAAAGACAAAATAGAAGGAAACACTGCAAATAAACCGATTAGTTATCTAGCTACTTCTCT